CTGCAAAAGATGGGACCCCAGAAGTGGGGGGACGTTTTGAAACACGAGAATAAGAAACGGGGTAGTCTCCCTTGGAGGCGGAGATGAGAAACTGCCATAGCATAAGGGAGACCTCCTGCCTCTTTGAGGCAATGAATTTCCCGCTCATTTAAGTAGACCTGGCAACGGCGAGAGTACGAAGGGTGAGCCTCATGACAATTAAGGGAAGAGGGAGGTCGACTGCAAGATGTATTAGAATGGTCATCGGCACCACAGACTGGGCATTCGGCTATATATCTGCAATATTTTGCTGGGTGGCCAAATCGCCAGCAATTCCTATACTGTTGCGGTGTAGGGATCACCTTCCGAACTTGTAACCGATGTCCTGGTACAAACAGAGAATGGGAGTTCACGGCTGTCAAAAGTTAAAGGAGCTACATTGCAAGGGTATCGTCTTCGCCCGCAGGCGGGAAGAACTTAAGTGAATTGGGAGATCTTTGAGCTCCAGCTGTTTGAGAATGTCATTGCCAAATGTCTGGAAATTCTGTTGGACTATGGTATGGGGCAGAATAACAGTACCACTACAAGAATTGAGGGAATGTTGTTTTTTGATAGTGACAGGAATAGTATCGAAATGTGAAAGAGAAAGATCATGAGCTTGGGTAGAATTCTGGACTGTGATGTTGCATGTGCCTCTCTCATGAGCATGAAAGGAAATATCTACGAACGTGGCATAGGAGCGCTTTGCCAATACTATGGTCAGAAAGATAGGCAGTAGAAGAAGTGTCTTAAAAGTAAAGAATTTAGTCCATTGTGTGGTCCGAAACAGTGTGGAGAGGGAGTGCATGACGTGTCTTTTCCGAGCATAATGGGAAGGTAACAAAGTAGCATCTGGAGACTGTCATTGGCGTTTAAAAGTGGGACCAGAGTCGGTCCGACGCGAGACGGGAAATTCGAAAATCGTCGCACCATAGAGGCAGAGGCCGGAAGCATAGTCAAAAGAGAGTGGAGGTCAGACAAATCGAAGATGTCAGTGGAAGCCCCGGTACCTGAACTGGGTGAGGAAACAGCACCAGGAAGAGGTACAGGGGCCTTGGGAGTGTCCAAAGAGTGGCCAAAAGATGGGGCAAGGTCAGAACAGGGTGCAGTAACAATAAGGGGACTGCAGGTAGTGGGGTCATGGATTTGGGACTCCATGGTTAGGTTACTTCTTTCTTTTTGTTTTTAAGAAGAGAAAGGAAAAAGAAAATAAAAAGAAAAAGAGAAAAAAAAAGGGGGGACCGGGGAGGGATAGTTCCTAGGAGGAATGAAAGGCCAGAAATCTCCCTCCGCACCCAAGAGACCTCAGCACCACAAGTAGCACAGATGCAGCATGGAACCCGTGCCATACCCTACCCTTCATGCCAGTATACCAGCAATCTGGGATAGCAACCTCACATCTGCCGAGCTACCTCGGTGGACAAAAGAGGGCGGCCGGTTATCTGCCACAAAGCATACCTCCTTCGGCCACCACCCTCGGAATCCGAAAGGTGGCTTCCAGAGATACACCCGTCGCCCTTAAGACACCCAAAGCCACCCTCCGGGATACCGGAGAGGGATCGGATATCCCCAGGTGATCCAGATCCCACGGCAAACTATGCCACTCCCAAGAACCTCAACGTAATGAGATGGACCCCAGTACCCTTCCCCCTACCTATGAACTAGTGTGCCTGTGGGAAAAATCCCAAAGCCAAAAGAGGAAGAGCAAAAGGGAGGGGTGGGGGAGGAGGAAAGGAAAAAGGGGAGGATGGGATAGGGAAGGAGGGATTGCGGGGTAATTAGGTTTGGTCTGAGGAAGGAGACTGACAGGTCTAATTCCTCAGACCAAGAGCCTCTTCACCGCGCCAAGGAGCCCCCCCCTTGAAGATGGCACTACTGAAGGCAGACTGAAGTGAAGGATCCCAGCAGTTCCATGCAAGATTGAGAGAACACTCAAGCTCAAACAAAACTGGAACAGCATTCATATGAACATAATGATTGGTCAGAGACCTATCGTTCACGATTCTTGCATCCAAGTATGTCAGCAAAGACTAAGCGACTCCTGTCAGGCACAGACCAGTCCATATCCCACACACGGTGTGCACTTTAAATTCATTCAGGAAGCTCACAGGAATATAAGAAAGGACCACTAGAGGAAGCCTACTGGCCCAAGCAAAGTATGAAACAAAAAGTACCGAGGAACGTATCAACTAATATACGAAAGAGAGATTAGCTTAACAAGAGCCAAGTGGTCTAAAATCCAGTCAGGAAGGAGGCTGAAGGTCCTGCAACATCACTGTTTATGACAGCCTGCAGGAAGCAGTGCAGTCGTATCAAATAGACCAACCTAGCATAAGCCAGGATACCCTACATCCCCTTGTAACTGTGCCAAGAATGGGTGCAGAAGCACAAAATTAAAACCGGGTACCCAGGGACAATTATTTTTGCAGATTTAGTCTTCTTCAAATTTAGAACAGACAGGCCATAATCCTGAAAGAGAAAGCTAGTTTTTAATATCGAGACTAATGCCCCAACAGTTCCATTGTACATGAGAATGGGCTAATGATCCGCGTTCCTGGTATCGCACAGGAAATTTTACCATTGGTGTATTATTATAATCAAGGAGGAAGCGCTAAACCCGTAGTATTATACAGCGCCTGGAGGAGGGGATGTGGAAGGCATTCAGGCTTAATTCGGGGAACTGGAGCACAGATCCAATTCCCTAAATCAAGAGCCCCTCACCAACATCAAGGAACCTTCCCTGAGGAGACCATTGGTGTAATAATTTTATTTTCCCTTGGTTGTAGATATAGTATACAAGTCACCCATATATATAATCGATTGGAAATAAGAGGGAATATGGAAAAGTGGCAGCCTGACCCTTTGTAAGAAGGGATACTAATGATTCCAAGTTATTTAACTAATTTATTGTATAGACAAATTTGCCTATACACAAACAAGTTAAAGCTGTACTGTCAATAAGATGCCTCAGCCTTTTAAAATTGAAGTCATTCAGAAGAGTCAGACTAATATTTAACTTAATTTATCAGGAATACAGTGTCAAACTAGTTTACACCTAAAAGTAACAAACGTGCACCTGCAGTTCAGTTTTACTCTTCACTAAGCAAGAGTTTTATTGCAACATTTGGATTCATGCAGAAGCAGTAATTAAAAGTTCATATTCATTTAAGTATCTCTTTAAATGGGCTCTACAATTTTCGTCATATGCAGGGCCAGATTAAGAAGTCTCCGGGCCCTAGGCTATTCAGATTGGCGGGGCCCCTTTGAGTTACGGGTAAGCGAAGCGACCCCTTCCAGCTTGGGGGGGGGGGTCGGTGAGCCTGTTTAAGGTCTAATTAAATACATTCTTGCTATTTAGATTAAATTTAATAGGGAAAGTACATCAAGACAACCAAAACCATTTACCAACAGCCATTATAACTATCATGGATGAGCCCCTGAACCCCTTGGACCGCGGGGCCCCCAAATGCGCGGGGCCCTAGGCAAATGCCTAGTTTGCCTATGCAGTAATCCGACCCTGGTCATATGGAACAAACATGCGAAAAGTTACCCGAATTTCTAATTACTGTATATCAGAGTTGAAAATGCGAAGCCTAACGGATGAGGCTTTTCGTCTTATGGACTAAACTGAAAAATTTGATTAAAAAACAGATTTAATCTATCTGAAGTTTCCCTTCTGGGATATTTTTTCCAAGAAATACTGCCCATACCCACCTGAACCACTGTTATCCTCAATACTACTACTACTGCTACCTGATACCATTATTATGCTTGATACCGCCGCTCCCTGGCAACCACCATAAATCCTGCTTGGCATACCAGGATGGTACCTCGAGACTTTGCTGTGTTAGGCTTAGAAAAACAAACTAATTTGGCCAAAGCAATAACTGGGCCTTCACTGGTATATTGGAAACTTTACTAAATTTCCTTTATCAATACTAACTCCCTACTGTCCAGATTGTCACTTATTTTCCGTAAATTAATCACAGTTGAAGTTAAATTACTTAAAATCCATTTTTTCATAATCTGTGGTCCAGTGACAAATTATTTAATGTCATCAGCCAGGAACGCGAGCCAATAAACGACGCAGTTATGGCACGAATATTTTTATTACTCGAATTCAAAACTCGACACAATCTGATGACAAGATTTTCCCCGGAAAGAAAGATTATCCATAAAAATTTCATTACAGTCTGCTTCAGTAGACTAATAAAATAAGAGCTATGCGAGAACAAAGCCGATATGAAACAGGCTGTTGTAGTTGCTTCATAAAATAAGCCTATTGCTACGTATTTATTACACTGAAATATTGCATAAAGAACAAAAGCAAAACATGTTCAAGCTGTAAAAAAATTTTTAATATATTTAGTTTGGGTGGTGCCTTTACATCGTCTCCCTAACGTTAGAAGCTCAACTCGCCACTGCCCGCTCTCTAACAAACTGGAAACAATGCCTCTGAGGAAGGTAACTAGACAGATACTGACAATTTACCTAAAGAATTAGACACGTGCAACATCTGGGTATCTATTGTACAAATTTCGTCATCCAGTGGCTTTATCAATACAGATTAAAAGGACAATGTGAAGACAGAAGAACTATTTACAACCTTAACTGTCACTGGCCCGTCCCTCGGGTATGACCTATTTCCACTGGGATATCCCACCTACCAGTGACAATGCCTTACATCCGTTACACGTCCCTCACTTCACACCAGCATACAAGTACCAATAGTCATTTCTGTGCTTCAGACTCTCTACTACGGTGCTCTTCAACTCCAAGGCTGAGGGACCGATTACCTCATCTTTTGTATATAGTTCTACTGTCTTCACAGTATTCCACTGAATTTGTAGTGATAAAGCCTCTGGAGGGAGAAACTTCTACAATAAACATGCCCAGATGTTGCGCACGTGTAATTAATCTTTCCGGTATTTAATACCATTGATTGACAGTTGCATAGACTCCTGCTGAGGAAGGTAACTTACCAGACCGTCTGTGAGACACTGACAAAGGAGGCAGGGGGAGACGCTGACGTATCTTCCTTTAGGATGTAGTTGACCCTGGTAAGTGCATTCTACATCTCGCTCGTAGTGAGGCTCCTCCCAGTGGCTCAGATCAACCGAGGGCAGCTGGTCACACACCACTAAGGGATTCCTGCAGAGATTGACAACTAGTGTAGAGAAACTGCCTTACTAGAGGTCAGGCAGTCATCACCACCGAACTGGTAAAACATCCGCGGACAGCAGATGTTTTACGAGTTGCAGGGGTATTGACCAGAGAAGCAGCTGAAGCTGGTACACCCCTACAGAAAGAGGGGCCCACCAAGCAGGGCGAAGGAATAAAGGGAAAGAGCAGCTGGGTGCAGGAGGTGAGAGGGACAGGTCATATGCAGAAGCATGACCATGCCACCAAGAGCTACAGGAAAAAGTAAGGGAGAAAATAGCCATGTACAGACACGAACCAGATACAGAGGGAAAGGCAATGGGAGGAGGAGGGGGCGAAGTCAGTGTTTATTCATGGGCTTCAGGAGAGTGAGGGAAGGACACAAAGACGGCAGGCAGAAAGACAAGAGATTGAGATCAAAGAAATTGATAATGAGGAAATGTCATTGTAAATTTCCTGAGACTAGATTACATAGTACTAACGCGTCAGTCTCGAGGTCCCAAGGTGGTAATTGCAGTGATGTATAACCCACCACAGAACAGGCGGAGGCCAAGGCAAGAGTATGATGAGAGTAATAGAGTGATGGTTGACACTGGCTGAAGTGGCCAGAAGGGCTCATGCGAGCAGGGCAAAGCTACTGATCATGGGTGACTTCAGCCACAAGGAAGCTGACTGGGAGAACTTGGAGCCACATGGGGCCAAGAAACGTGGAGGGCTAAGATGATTCATTCATTCATTAGGGATTTGCCGGTACTTCCGGCCCGGGTCTTCTCCAGATGGTAACCCGGCGGCTAAGATGATGGAGGTGGTACTGGAAAACCTCTTCTACCAACACGTAAGGGACACTACCAGAGAGGAGAGGAACCAGCGAGACTGGACCTAGTATTCACCTTGAGTAGAGCAGATATTGAGATAACGCATGAAAGACCCCTGGGGGCCAGTGATCATGCGGTTTTATGCTTCGAATACATAGTGGAGGGGGAAGCAGGATGGGCCCGATGAATGAAGCCAGACTACAAGAAAGGGGACTATGCAAGCATAAAGAACTTCCAGATCGGGGTTCGGTGGGACAGAACTGGCAGGGAAGCTGAGGAGAGGTTTGTACCCAATGGTAACAGGAATAACGAACAAGCCAGGATGAACCTGTGGTTCACCCAAATGTGCAGGGAGGCCGAAACCAAGTGCTAGGGAATGGAAGAAGTATAGAAGGCAAAGGACCCAGGAGTATAAGGAGAGCAGTCGTAGAGCCAGAAATGAATATGCACAGGTAAGACGGGAGGCCCAAAGGCAATACGAGAATGACATAGCAGTGAAAGCCAAATCTGACCCAAAGCTGTTGCACAGCCACATCAGGAGAACAGTCAAGGTCCAGGTAATCAGGCTGAGAAAGGAAGGAGGGGAGGTCACTAAAAACGACCGCAAAGTATGCGAGGAGCTCAACATGAAATTCAAAGAAGTGTTCACAGAAGAGAGAAGGGCCTCCAGAAAGGCAAGGTGGGGTACACCAAGTGTTGGACACAATACATACAACCGAGGAAGAAGTGAAGAGGCTGTTAAGCGAACTAGATACCTCAAAGGCGATAGGACCGGATACCATCTCTCCATGGGTCCAGAGAGAGGAAGCAGAGGCTCTGTGTACCACTAACAACTATCTTCAACACCTATAGAAACAGGACGATTACCGGAAGTATGGAAGACAGCAAATGTAGTCCCAGTTTTTAAAAAGGAGACACGAAGCTCACGGAGCGAGAAGTGTGACCGGGTAGCTGCCAGTTGAGGCGGGGCCAGGAGCTGTGACTACCCCTGCAATCACAACTAGGAGTACAACTAGGAGTACGTACGTACGCACGCACGCGCGCGCGCACACGCACATCCTCACAAGAGATTAGTGCAGAAGCTAGAGATCAAGCGCATATAACAGGAAGGGTACTGCAATGGATCAAAGAACACCTGACAAGGAGGCAGCAACGAATCATGGTTAATGATGAAGTATCACAGTGGGTGCCTGTGATGACCGGGGTCCCACAGGGGTCGGTCCTAGGACCAGTGCTATTTTTGGTATGTGAATGACATGATGGAAAGGATAGACTCAGAAGTGTCCCTCTTCGCAAATGATGTGAAGTCAATGAGAAGAATTAAATCAGATGAGGATCAGGCAGGACTTCAAAGAGACCTAGACAGGCTGGACACCTGGTTCAGCAACTGGCTTCTCGAATTTAACGCCTCCAAATGCAAAGTCATGAAGATCAGGGAAGGGCAAAGACAGCAGAGAGTATAGGCTAGGTCGCCAAAGACTACAAACCTCACTCAAGGAGAAAGATCTTGGGGCGAGTATAACACCGAGCATGTCTCCAGAGGCACACATCAACCAGATAACTGCTGCAGCATGTGGGCGCCTGGCAAACCTGAGAATAGCGTTCCGATGTCTTAGTAAGGAATCGTTCAAGACATTGTACACCGGGTACGTCAGGCCCATATTGGAACCCACACCTGGTCAACCACGTCAAGAAATAAGAGAAAGTGCAAAGGTTTGCAACAAGGTTAGTTCCAGAACTAAGGGGAATGTCCTACGACGAAAGGTTAGGGGAAATCAGTCTGACTACACTGGAGGACAGGAGGGTTAGGGGAGACATGAGAAGGGCATACAAAATACTGCGTGGAATAGACAAGGTGAACAGAGACAGGATGTTCCAGAGATGGGACACAAACAAGGGGTCACAATTGGAAGGGGAAGACTCAGACGAGTCAAAGGGATGTTAGGAAGTATTTCTTCAGAGTAGTCAGGAAGTGGAATAGTCTAGCAAGTGATGTAGTGGAGGCAGGAATCATACAGAGATTTAAGACGAGGTATGATAAAGCTCATGGAGCAGGGAGAGAGAGGACCTAGTAGCGTTCAGTGAAGAGGCGAGGGCAGGAGCCGAGTCTCGATCCCTGCAACCACAATTAGGCGAGTACAATTAGGAGAGTGGGCGCGTACACAGTACCTGAAGGTGTTCAGGTGTCAACGCCCTCGCGGACCGGTCCTTAACTAGGCCTCCAGGTGGATCAGAGCCTGATCAACGAAGCTGTTGTTGCTGGCCACACGCAATCCAATGCACAAACCACAACCCAGCTGATCAGGCACTGACTTTAGGCATCTGTCCAGTACAATCCTGAAAACAGCCAGGGGTATATTGGCAATACCCCATACGAGAGGAAGCTGTTGAACAACAGTCTTGGGGTCCGGACGCTTATTTTATTCTCGGCATCTGTTGTTCATTGAGGTAGGATGTTGCACCGTCTGCCTGTTCTTTTACTGTCTTAAGGAGTGATTTGTGTGTGCAGATTTGTGACCAGTCACTAGGATCTAATGTGTACATTTTGACGCATCTCTCACTAATCATACGTCAATATTTAACTGAATTAGAAATTTCTGCCTCGCGCTCTACTTTTCGCATACAGAGGCACAGGTCACCGGCGGTGACCTCTACCCACTTCAGTAGGTACACGTGTAATGTTCTGTCGAGCAATAATTACTACATGAATGGGTAGGCAGTTGAATATTAGACTGAGCACTGATGGAAAGCGTTTACAATGCCCCAGAACTGTTTAGTAAATCTGCTCATGAAACAATCAGATCTACACTAGCATTATCAACTATTTTGTTCCCATCAATTCGATCTTTCAGAAATTACAAGTGAAACTATTGGAAGTCAGAGTTTCACTCCCATAAACGAATTACATAAATGGCATTAGTTCATAAAAGCCAGTATATTCAGCCTAAAAGATAAATGCCCCACCATTTATATCGAGAGTGATGCTGGCAAGTGTAAGTCAGGTAAGTACAATGTGGGAGAGTACCACCTCTCAGCGAAGTACCTCAACCCCGGTACTTAACACACTATAGTAATGTGACCCAGCAGTGAGGGTGAGGCTGGGGGACAAGTACTCTGACCGGCAACAATGGGTAGATATTAGAATAAACGCAACCCAAGTAAATGTAACAAGTTAAACTTGGCACAGATACTCGACCAGATACTTACGTAATATCTTCTATAGTATCTTATCGGGAAACTAAATGATCAAATTATAAATTAACAACCATAACACGAGCTTCTAAACATTTTAACCAAGTTTTTCCAATTCATCAAAATTTTATTTAATATGTCAATCCATTAATGAATTATACTATCCTTTCCTCTCCCCCTCCCACTTTCCCTGCATTTTGCAAATCAAACCAATTTACCAAAGTTATCAAATTGATAACTGCAAGCAGTAAAACCCACTCAGGAAATCGAAGCAAATCAGAAGGTAGAAAAAAGTGTGCATTCATTATCAGAGTGAGACGTGGAGGGCTAGAACCATTTACTACTTTCAAAATTATACTTTACAGAACCATTCAGCCAAGACAAGCAGCTGAATAGTGTACATACAAGGCAGAAAAAGATGCAACAACTGCCTCACTGCACAACCCTTGCGTTAAGAGGAACGTAAATTTCCCAGTCAGAAAATAACTTGCTCATTTTTTCACTATAATCTACCTTGTCCATACTTACTATCGCATTTTTTTTTGGGGTTTGTTTTTGTTTTGTAAGGTGAAATCAGGATCTTTCCTTAATTCATGGTCTTATTTAACAAATCTGAGGACAATTATGTTGCCGACGTCTGAGTACAGCTCAGACCTCTGCAACAATTGTCCTCAAAGATTTAAGTTACAGTAGACAGTCATTTAACACGAATTTATTTGACACGATTTGGGTATAGCACGATTGAAAAATTGTGGCACAATTTTATGTAACACGTCGTATGATGAATTTAACACTCTTCAGTTTGCGGGAAGAAAAAAAACTTTCCCTTTTCCTTAAGCGGCCGCCTTGTTGTGGTTCTGCTGGGGAGACCTCCCGCCGTCCCCAGCCTCCCGCCGTCCACAGGCCTCCCGACACCTCCCCCACCATCAAAGCATTCTGCTACAAGCTTGTGATTGTGAATTGTGTTTAGATCTTCTAATTGCTATATCTTGTATCTACCAAGAAATCATGACAGTAGGCATACCGGTGTTGCTCAAAGTGGCAAGAAAAGGTGCAAAAGCATTTAAGTCTTATAATTAACGAAGGAAACAAAGATATTAGACAAGACATAACTTGTGGCCATAATGAAGTGTTACTTTGTACACAAAGTGGTAAACGGAAGTTTGTGTGACTGACTTACTGAATCATTCGACTGACTTACTGAATCACTTGATTGAATGACAAAGTTACACTCCAGTACAACCATCAACTTCAGTATCAGAACCTCTACCATCCACCTCAGCCCAGTAGGACCACAGCATAACTCTCCACTCTTCACAATCATCCACAAACACCAGCACCCACAATTAAGGCAAGAAATACTATTTGGTACATTTGTAGTCTTACGCATTAAAAACATAATACATCATAATGAACCACAATTATATTTTCACTTTTATTTATGTAAGATGCTGAGGCCTAAAAAGTCTAGCTTTTTTGGGGCTCTCAGGAACTAAACTACCGCGTTAAATGATGGTCTACTGTATATCATGAATTAAGGAAAGATCCTAGATTTCATTTTACGAAACAAAACAAATGCGATAATTATGGACAAGGTACATTATAGTGGAAAAAATTAACATGTTATTAGAAGACTGGGGAACTTACGTTCCTCTTAAGTTCCAAATAACACTCCTCCCCACAAGAGCCGCTCGCAATGTGCGTAGTCCCACAAGACAGACTGTGCCACAGGAGTGCACACGGACAAGCTCCCACAGTGCAGTAAAGGAACTTACTCTCTCTTTGAAGGAAGATGCAGTATCCTAGCTGGCACCCTGGCATCAGGGTCTTCCATGTTATCACAGACCAGACGAGCCAGGGAGGTGGAGGAGCGGATGGCTTGTAGCTGGCCCAGTGTCAGCCCAGCGTCAGCATTCTCGTACCTGTCCACCAAGTTTCAACGTAATATATTGTGTTAAACTTTTATCGGTCATTCAGCTACCATATTAAGTCAGGAAAGCCATTCTTTCTTTCCCAGTAATTATACCAACGTACCAGAACCTGTCGCCGCGTCGGACGTTGAGGAACTGATAGGCGATGATGCAGGCGAACGTAGGCCCAACTAGGCCTCCAGGTGTAGCAGTCTCAGCCTGAAATATTTATATTATTCCCTAAACCAATGTACAATATTTTGTATATGGGAAGCATTAAGATAAAGTGGACCAAACAGCTTAACTTGTGCACATTTAAATCTTCAGTTTTTAATATTCATGAAATAAATTTCTGCTTAATAAAGTTTACCGATTGGCGACTTCCTACAGTTAATATACACACTTATTGACACACTGGAGTTTAAAGAATTGTCCAGCATTCCAGAACAGCTGCTACTCTCGTCCATTCGTCACTGATGACACATGCAAACAGCAGTTATGTTTGTGCTCCAGTTGGCTATGCACTCACCAGACCTCCAGGAAACAGGTCAATATCTTCTATGTGAGCATAAGTTTTGCGGAGGACAGAGACTGCCTGCTGGGGCATCACATGGAGGAGGTCATCGAAGGTGGTTGCCAATCCCCCACCGCAAGCTTCTCTGTACTTCACATATGGTCCTATACCATGGTCACGACCTGCTGATGCCAAGAATTTCAGCAAAATATTCATGAATTTCTAAAGCACTAAAACTGTTTATTGTGGAAAAAGTCTTTGGTGAGACCACCTGAGCAACCTCTAAAGCCAGCATAGCATCTACTTTTAATTCTATACGAGTGGTTCGCATCAGGCGACATCATACCAAAATATCTTACTGACATGGTGTATGGAGTATAGTGTTGAGGAGGCTGTCAAACTAGGTACAGGGTTTTAACAGCCACCCTCTTCCGAGTGAAAACCTGGTAACTTGTGATCAGTCCCTCAGTGATGTTTTCCACTGCTATCTGCGACAGGCCACACCGGGAGTGCACTAACAAGGGATGCTGAAAATACTGCCCACTTAGACCCTTTATTCCAGGGGTAAACTCTTGCGAGAAGCACTGAGGCTTCGTACTATCTGTCAAAGAATCCAGAATATCATAATCAAAAGAAGCGCTAAACCACAAGGGCTATACAGTGCTGCAGGGTAGGAAGGAAGCAGGGTTATCAGGTGGCGAAAGGGGGAGGGATAATTAGTAGGGTACAGAGAACAGTGGGGCAGTGGATAGTACAGGGGTAGAGGGTAGCAAGAGATTGATGTAGAAAGGACTGAGGGGAGTGCGAGAGGTATCATCACCAGAGTTTGTGGAGTAAGTCGGTTGATAAGAAGTCAACGAGAGAGTCAGGATTAAAGGAGGGTCCATCAGCAGGAAGGGAAGATAAAGAGATAGTAGAGCAGAGACGATGTTGGAGGGAAATTCTGCGTGCTCGTTGATAGAGGGGGCAGTCTAACAATGTGGCTAACCGATACTGGAACCTGGCACGTATCACAGAGGAACAGGGTGCCTCTCCATGAGATACCCCATGAGTAAGGCGAGTGGGGCCAATGCAAAGACAGGAGAGAGTAGTCTCCCAACCCCGACAGAGGACAAGAAGACGGCCTGTAACCTATACTTGGTTTAATAGAATGAAATTTGTTACCGAGTAGATTAGACCAACGTTGTTGCCAATGGGTGTGAAGGTGGGTTGCTATTACAGCAAAATAGTTCGTAAATGGAACACCTCTATATGAAACTGGTAGGTCATGTACTGCTGACCACGCAACAGTGTCTGCCTGTTCATTGCCCTGTACGTCAACATGACCAGGGACCCAACAAAAAACTATGCTTGGTCGAGATATGGCATAGCCAAAGTTTGATACGGAGGACTAGGGGGGCGAGGTGTATCAAATTTTCGTATAGCCTGTAGAGCACTAAGGGAGTCTGAGAACCACAAATGATGATGACAGGCATAGATGCAATATGGGTAAGTGCTGCAAGAATGTCATACAATTCAGCTGTAAAAATGCTAGCCGAGGATAGTAAATGTCCTCGCGTGACACTGTCCAGAAACACTGCTGCGAATCTGACGCCATCAGAAGAGAGCCACCTGTGTGCACTGCGATGGCATGAGAATGAGAGCAGAAGTGGTCAAGAAAAAGAGCGGGAAGCTACTGTAGGCAGTTGGGCTTTCGTGCAAAGGAGTGAGAAAGAACAGACTTGGACAGCTGGAACTTCTCAGGAGGGGGCAGGGAAAAGTGAGATACTACATGAACATAGAAAGGTGGCAACTGAAGGGAAGACAAGAGCGAATTTAGTCGAAGAGAAAAGGAACGGAGCAAACTGGGGTGACGAACAAATAAAGAATGTACTAACATCGGTGACTATTCTATATATGAAAGGATTGCAGAGATCATGAGAGCAAACATAGTAGTAAAGGCAATGGGCATTGCGGCAATTGGACAAGGATGGAATATTTATTCGCTTCTGCATAGAGGCTAAACAGGAGAAGAGCGAAAAGCACCAAGGCACAAACAATCCCTGGTGATGGATGGGATTAAGGCTCGAGAGAGTAGTAGGAGAAGCCGCTGAATAGATCTGATCACCATAATCGAGTTTTGATAAAATGAGGGCTGAATGTAGGCGAAGGAGAGTTCGACAATCAGCTCCACATGAAAGATGAGCAAGGGTTTTAAGAAGGTTCAGCCGGTTGTGGCAAGTTGCCTTCAGAGAGGTAATGTGAGGTTTCCAGGATAACCTACGGTCAAAGAGAAGGCGTAGAAACCTGACTATCACGTTCAGGGATACGCGAGCCATAGAGGTACAAATTATTGGAGATGACAAAGCTCCTAGTGAAAGTAATTTGGCGAGTTTTGGTACTGGAAAATTTAAACCCATGCGTGGTGGCCCAATTGGAAACACGGTAGACTGCATGCTTGAGAAAACTAACGAGGTGACAGTCAGCACCTGCACAAGCTATAGCAGTCAACAACATAGTGATGACCAAATATTGGATGGAAGACTAGAGGCCAAATCATTTATAGCAAGGAAGTGTTGTGCTCAGAACACATCCCTGAGGGACACCCTCAGCTTGGACAAAGTCCGGGGAGAGAACATTATTAACACTGAAATGTCTGTCACTTAAAATGTTTTTAAGGAAGGATGGTAGATTGCCTTAGAGCCTTAAGGAGTGGGATTGGGCCAAAATATTATACCTCCAAGTTGTATCATATGCCTTCTCGAGGTCAAAAAACATGGCAATAACCGAGTGGTTATTCACAAAGGCATTACGAACATACATATCCAAGCATAGTAAGGGGTCTATGGTAGAACGGCTCTTACGAGAGCCATATTGACGAGTGGACAGACTGTTGTATGCCTCTAAATACCACATTAAATGTCGATTTACCAGACGTTCCATCACTTTGCAAACTGCACTGGTAAGAGTAATGGGACGATAGTAGGAGGCATGTCCCATAGTACCCAGTTTGTAGAAAGGGAGAACAAAGGCACATTTCCACAGCTGCAGGAGAACTCCTTGTGATCAAATAAGATTGAAGAGGTGTAAGAGGCCTACAAGGGCTGATTGATGTAAATGTTGTAACATACGAATATGAAGGTCGTCAGGCCCAGGTGCCGATGATCGACAAGTGGAGAGTGTCGCCTCCAGTTCCTGAAGTGTAAAAAGGCACATTATACGGTTCTTCAATGTGAGAAGAAAAGTCCTAGGGTGCTAACTCTCTGGCAGACTGAGGAAAGAAACGAGGGGCATAAATGAACCCCCTGAGAAATACTTACCAGATGATTGCCAATTTTAATGGCAACATCAAGAGGGTTTGCTATATTAACACCGGCAACCTGCAAAACAGGAGCCCAGGTATGGAGAGTATTTACCACTATTTCCGTACTTTTTTTCAGACTGCACTCAGTGGAAGCTGAGGTGATGGTGGAAACAATCTCGCCAGTGAGTGCGTTTAGCATCACAGATGACACGGCGGGCGACCACTCGCTTCTGCTTAAAATTAATTAGTCTCTCTGTGGTTCTATTGTACCAGTACCTGCCCCATGCAGTGCGTTTCAAAAGTACTGCCCGAGCACAGGCAGAAGACCACCATGGCACATACTTCTGAGAATGCCTGTCTGAGGTTCAGTGGATAGAATGAGAAGCTGCAGTTAAAACTTATGTTGAGAAGAGGTGTAAAACCTCATCAATGGAGGATGAAGAAGGAACTTCACTAAAAGCAGTTAGTTGCGAGTAAAGGTCCAAATTTGCTGGATTAAATTGCCAGCGAGGGCTACGAAGATGTGGTGAATATGAAGGGGAAGAATGATTGGAAAGTGATCACAATCATGGAAGTCCGGTAGAACAGACCAGGTGAAGTCTAGTGCAGTGGAGGAAGAGCAGACCGAGAGATCGATGCAAGTGTGTGTGAGTACTAGGATCAAAATGGGTGGGGGTACCCGTATTTAAAACATGGAGGGGGTGAGAAGCGAGAAAAGCCCCAACTGAATGCCACGCGAGTCACAATGAGACACCCCCCCCCTCCCCCACCGAGGAAATGGTGGGCATTAAAATCGCCAAGTAACAGAGGTGGTGGCGGTAAGGATGAAACAAGAAAGGCAAAATCTGGGATAGATAATGCTCGAGAAGGAGAGAGATATAAAGAACACTTGAAAATTTGGTTCTTGTAAGCAAATATCAATAGAGGAAAACCTGGAAAGCAACATCTGAAGCTCACCCCAATTACCACTGAGGCCACGAATATTCCACTGTAAATAGGCCATGATTGGCAACGAGGAAAATACCAGGAATCCGCAGGTAAGGGCACCTACAGACTAGAGGGGTTAGAAAAGTCTATGTGCGGTGGCATCAGAAAACTTTCAAGCAGCGAAGGAATGGAGCGTTGCAAAGAATGGAGTTGTGGAGATGGAGGAGAGGGAAGAGAAGGAACAAGAGGTCGATCAGTGTCCATTCAAGGGTTAGTCCCTACAATATATTCTGAAATAGCATCAAGTGTTTCTGAATTCAAAGACGTTGTATGGGAGACAATATTGGAGAGAGAAGGAGAAGGGTGAGTAAAGATTGGGACAGTAATGGACTGTACTAAAGTAGGGGGGGGGACAAAAGTGTGTTGGGAACTGGAGAAGTGTGGGAGGGGACAGAAGAGGCAGAAACCTGGGAGGCAGCAGAAGAGGGAGAGACTTGGGAGGGTACAGGGGAGGAAGGCACAAAACAAGGAGGGTGAACCTCCACACTTGTAATAGAGCCAGTGAGAGGGAAAGAACCAGGTACAGAGACGAAAGGTAAAATGTGGGGGCAGAAGAAGGGAAGGAGGGGGCAAAGATGATTTGAGCAAAGGGGATTTTTTGGACTTCTGAGAAGTAGAGGGGTGATTGGTAGAAGGTGTCGTACGAGATCTTGAGGGAGAACTCGAAGATGTCAGAACAGACTTAGGTCTTGAAGCAGGGACGTGATCCCAGGACAGCAAAAGAATTAGATACAGGAGTGACTATGGGAGGGGTAACAACAGAGGCTGCAGAAGATGGGACCCCAGAAGTGGGGGGACGTTTTGAAACACGAGAATAAGAAACACGGGGTAGTCTCCCTTGGAAGCGGAGATGAAAAAACTGCCATAGCATAAGGGAGACCTTCTGCCTCTTTGAAGCAACGGATTTCACGCTCATTTAAGTAGACCTGGCAACGGCGAGAGTACGAAGGGTTAGCCTCATGACAATTAAGGGAAGAGGGAGGTCGACTGCACGATGTATTAGAATGGTCGTCGGCACCACAGACTGGGCATTCTGCTATAGATCTGGAATATTTCGCTGGGTGACCAAATTGCCAGCAATTTCTACACTGTTGGGGTGTAGGGATCACCTTTCGAACTTGTAACCGATGTCCTGCTACATAAACAGAGGACAGGAGTTCACGGTTGTCGAAAGTTAATTGAGCCACATTGCAAGGGTATCGTCTGCATCCGCGGGCAGGAAGGACAAGAGTGTCTACCTTGAAGATCGGGAGATCTTGGAGTTCCAGCTGTTCAAGAATGTCATTGCCACATTCCTGAAAAGTCTGTTGGACTATGGTATGGGGCAGAATGACAGTACCACTACAAGAACTGAGGGAATGTTTTTTGATAGTGACAGGAATAGTGTTGATATGTGAAAGAAGAGAAAGATCATGAGTTTGGGTAGCATTCTGAACAGTGATGATGTGCATACCACTCTTCAGAGCACGAAAGGAAATATATCTACCAACATGGCAGAGGAGCACCTAGCCATTAGTATGGTCGGAAAGATAGGCAATAGTCGGTCGTAAAGTAAAGAATTTGGTCCATTGTGCATTCTAAAACTGAGCATGGAAAGGGAGTATTTGATGTGTTGATTTTTCCTGAGAAGAACGTGGTGGTGAAGTGCCATCAGGCAATTGTCATTTGTGTTTAGTAGTGGGACCAGAGTTGGTCCGACATGAAATGGGCTAGCGGTTCGAAAATTGCCACACCGTAGAGGGAGAGGCCAGAAGCATAGCCAAAGGAAAGCAGAGGTCAGACAAATCAAAGTTGTCAGTCGAAACCCCGGTACCTGAAGTGGGCGAGGAAACAGCACCAGCAAGAGTACAGGGGCATCAAGAGTGTCCAAAGAGTGGTCAAAAAACGAGACAGGGTCAGAATGGGGTGCGGTATCAAGAAGGGGCCCGGGGGTAGTAGGTTCATGGACTGGGCTCTCCATGGTTAGGTTACTTTTCTTTTCTTTTTGTTTAAGAAAAAAAAATAAAAAAAAAAAAAGGGGGGAGCAGGGAGGAATAGTTCCCAGGAGGAATGAAAGGGCCAGAAATCTCCCTCAGCGCCCAAGAGGACCTCAGCATCGCAAGTAGTGCAGATGCAGCATGGAACCCATGCCATACCCTACCCTTCATGCAAGTAAACCAGCAATCTGGGATAGCAACCTCACATCTGCCGAGCTACCTCGGTAGGACAAAAGAGAGGGTGGCTGGATATCCGCCACAAAGCATACCTCCTTCGGCCACCACCCTCGGAATCTGAAAGGTGGCTTCCAGAGATATACCCATCGCCCGAAAGACACCCAAAGCCACCCTCCGGGATACCCGAGAGGGATTGGGACATCTCCATCAATCCAGATTTCATGGCAAACTACGCCACCGCCAAGAACCTCGACGGAATGGGATGGACCCCGGTACCCTTTCCCCTACCTAGGAACTAGCGTGCCTGTGGGAAAAATACCCGAGGCCAAAAAGAGGAAGGGCAAAAGGGAGGGGTGGGGGGAGGAGGAGGAGGAGGAGGAGGAGGAGGAGGAGGAGGAGGAGGAGGAGGAAAGGAAAAAGGGGGAGGATGGGATGGGGAAGGGGGGATTGGGGGGTAATTAGGTTCGGTCTGAGGAAGGAGACCGACAGGTCTAATTCCTCAGACCAAGAGCCTCTTCACCACGACAAGGAGCCCCTCTTGAAGAGGCAAAGATTCCAGAACAAACAGCCCTGCAGTCAGTCTGGAGATGGTGAAGAATGGTAACTATCTGCACTGTGTCAGTCTTCTTTAAGGTCAAAGATAACCACAAGGTTTCTGGGTAGCTGGCAGAACCTTCCTGGAATTTTCCAGACAGCCAAACTAAGCTGTCAGTTGTGAATGGAACTTTTAGAAGCAAAACTGTACCGACGAAATAACGTTTTTCAGTCTTAGTACTAAATGAGACGAAATTTCAAGTCCCCAACAACTTACAGATGAAGTTCATCAAAAATTTCCAGTAATTCGCTGCTTCCTTCATGTCAACGGTCGTCACCACCCCCAGCCCTCCCCCTGCCTGGCTTCTGGTCGCCACCCCAGGCTCCCCCTGCCAGACTTGTCACCACCCCCGAGCCCCCCCCTTCCCTGGCTGGCTTAGATAGGTTTACTTTAATATACACAGATTCAAAGATAATTAAAAACTAATTACTCCAAACCACAACCGACCACACAAAACTAGCTACCAACACTACACAAAACTAGCTGCCCAGGTACCAACACTGCACAAAACTAGCTACCCAGGTACCAACCTTACATTTACTTTCCTATTAATTTACTGTACACAGATTTAACCACTTAGCGTCGTGCCTCGAGCGATGTTTCTAGCAAATAGGTCCCTTATGGGGTTTGGATGACCCTGGAACAGCTGATTCACGATGGATGGGACTAGACGCAAGTCAACTGGTAGGAGTCTTGTACCAACCAGACCTCGCAGCACACTGTCGTAGATTCCCGGCTGTTGAACAAGTTACGAGTGTAAGTTATGCATGCTATTATGGCTTCGTTGTTAGCAATTACGTATACAAGATTATACTTTAAAAGTAACCGATACATGGGTTGCAAGAGCAGCTAAACATTGAGATGCTAGGGACGAGGGGTACGTGCTCGGGGGGGGGGGGGAGGCGAACATAAGACTAGAGAAAGTCATGTGATTCATTACACTTACTTCCCACAATGATTCACTAACTTAACCTCCCTTTTGTAACCCTTTCCTCCCATATCTGGAAGTCTTACCTGGGTTGCCAAAGAAGCGTTGTTGAAGGTCTGAACGAGAGGAACAGAAGCAAGAGGCAGATAGTTGTGATCAAATAAAGGCAGGAAGTCCGGGATCATTGTGTGTCCGACCCTGAACACACTTGTAGCGAACTCGTTCAGTGCCCCGGGGTTGACACGCTGGTCATAACCCTGAAACCAAGACCAAAAACTGAGTGATCACTTGTTAACTAATTCGTGGAGAAACTAATAGCTACTTAGCTGAGATATTGTCAAATTTATTGATTACTTTTTTTAAATATAACAAACATCGAAGGAAATTTATAAATGAAAAAAAAATTTCAAGTAAAACATTTAAGTTATAAATTTTAAATTATTTACAAACTTTAATGAAGTTACGAGATCCCCAAGTTACATACAGGGATGCTGCTGGACATCTGTACGTCAATCTTAATAGCCGAGGGAATGACAACTTACCAAGAATGGAGAACTAAAAGCCTTAAAAGTACTTTAATGTTCATAATATTTTCGCCTGTATTCAATTGAAGAAGCCGCTACGCAGGCAGAACTATTAAGCAAAAAAAATCACCATAGGAAGGTGGAGGGTAACGCCCTGACGTTTGATATTTTATTTAAAATTACATCAACATTACACTGAGATTTAAGTCGACGTCTTCACGTTAACAGTTGAATGTGAATGTCGTTAAAACCTTTATCAGCAATACTTTGGCCGTATTTTCTGGGTTTCCAATTTTCTTACCACTTCTGCATTATGATCAGTTCTCACCTGTCCTTATTTCGCTCTGCTATCTGCTTTACTCTTGCTTCAGTACCTTTCGCACCATTGTTTACCTGGTAATACCCGGATTTCTCAGGGAGGAGTCTGTAGTCTGCCATCTTTACTTCACCCACCAGCATGGGCAGCAGCTCTGTGTACACCATGTGTTGGTACTTTGCTATGTTCACCCGACGAGCCTCCTGTTACGTGTATATTTAAAAATATAAAAAAACTTTAATTACATGTTGCATCCTAAGGGATTACACGTTGCATCCTAAATGATTACCTTCATCTATTATCCTACACAGGTTTAATTCTTCTTTCCTATTTTTTTTTTTTTCAAATTAAATCACCCCCTCTTTGATAAACTAAGTGTCACGCTTCCATAACGTTTCTTATATGACACGATTAATCTATATCATTTAAACATTTAGCTTCATATTTTATAAAATTGTTGTATGAACCTCCTACACTAATTTTCTTTCAAAATTCAAGCTTTCTTTCAGCCTCATTACTAACAGCACCAGGAAGAGCCAGGAGCTACGACTACCCCTCCAACCACAAATAGAGCGCGCGCACGCACCCGCACAATGCTGGTGCACACACCGCGGTCTCGTGTATTGTCAGTTTGCCTTGCAATATACCTGTACTGTCTTGCTCTATTTTCAAATACATTTTCTTCAAACATAAGTTACGACTGTCCCTATTACAATGCACACATGAAAGCTAAATAGGTATTGGTCATACAGCATGACACAGCAGGGCTAAGACAAGTGAAGGCATGTTTGAAAGCCAAGAACACTGACTATATTCACCACCACCTTGGCAATAAATCAGTACAACACAAAGGAACGTCAAAAATAAAATAAGAAAAAATTGAATGTTGTGGTAGGTTGAGAACTCGTCCCCAAAAAAGTCAAAGGATCGAACAACACTGTCCAGCAGAACGTAACCCACAGGGTGATTGTGCCCCAGTCACTCGAGTGCAGGGATGGGCGAGGCAAATCACAAGTTAGGTCAGCAGAAAGAGACTTTGAACTCAATCCAGATGGAGGTACACAGATGATCTCCCCTGTAAGCTCACAATGGTTGCAGGGAGGAAGAGCTCAGTTCAGCCTGACTGATGGTTAACAAATGGCTGAGATACCTACACTTCTCTTGGCATCTACACCAAGAGTTATAAATGCCTTACGTTGAAACAGGAACTTCATTCCACTTTACTCTTGCAATCCTCCAAGCTACGACTTATGAAGAGTGTTGCATGCCACGCCAGTACAACACTGCCACAGAAATGAACCTCTTGGGTTGCCTTACACGGTCTACAGGTGTCAAATTTCTGGCACTAAGGATTTTACAGAGGGGAGCAAACTCTTTACATCCAGGTAGAAACCCAGAACCAGTAAATGTGTTACCACAACACGGCCCACCTTCCTCCAACTCTCTTCATAGGTAGGTTCTCTTGCTCGCAGAACAGCCTTCGCTTTTGTCACTTCAGTTTCGGGAGTTACTAGGCATGGATACGAGAGGTTTGTTGTTACAAATTCAATATGATGGACTGACCTGTTGGGTTAAGTCCAGGACCATAAACGAAACTAAGGAACCTCGGTAATTGAATCACTTGATGTAAACGAAGACAAGAAGTTAGTGCCTCGACAGACACGCGAGTTGATAAGTAGTCTTCGTTCCCTAAAGTCCCCACATCCCAACCACTGCAGTATCAGCTTACATTAACTAGAGGATACATATTGTTCCAGGCTATGGAGCAGAACTCTTCTCCAAGCTGAGGGACTGACTACTCTTAAAACTACTATGAGGGCGATGGACTGATTACATCTCCATCTCCACTGCTTTTGATGCCTGTTCTGTATTCGACTCGAGAAACCTACTGTATAAGCAGAAAGTTAAAGAAAATATCCAACTGTTGGACAAGTTTTATCTACTAACCAGGAAAAACAGCTTCAGGAGAGCTCTCTGACTTCGGCTTAACTAAACAGACTGTTACAGGTGCTAGCAGCGCCAGCAACCTCTTATCCACAGTAACCTCCAGTAAAACTTACATTGCCAAAAAATTCCACTCCCTTACCCCGTCCCTAATCCCATCCCTTCCTTCGCAAAATTTAATCTTTGCTCTATGCCAATTAAGGTGACCCCAGCACCAGGAGGGAAGGCAATCTGGAGAGCTTAATAGCAATCCTGAAGCTAGGATCTTAAGTACGTTACAACACGGGTTGGACACAAGTGTGAAGAGTGTTGGGTTGACAGATGACAAGCCTGGATAGTAGGTCCACTATAATGATCCCATTTTTTTTTTTGCATGGACAGCTGCTGCTTTTGAATGGGCTTTCCATGAAAAAAAATATAGGTTGAAGTAGAGTGCACTGTTTAGTAACAGTTGGTGTAAAATATAAAAATTTTGATGAGCATTACCTATGTAGTATGAAGCCTTACAATATAAAATTAAAAATACTGGCAAGTTTGATAAAAAGCCAATAATTCTATAACCCGAGACAACCTGGGAAGCAAACATACATCCCCAGATTTAAAGATACAACATCGTGCACACTATTCTAGAACTAACCTAGCCAGATAATTATCAGAATTTACCATGAAATGAGCTTGAGAAACTGTTTTGAAATGATACAACTCACCTGATATATTCTCTCATCATTCCAGTGGGGGTTGAGGGCAGATAGCTGGCCAGCAAGACGATTGTGTTCTCTGAACAACATTGCGTGCACCACAAGCAGCCCCAGTTGTTCGTTGCTCCTGTAACATACCTTCACAAACTTAATACTGGCTACTACAACTTTACAACATGCTGCCTTTAAGACATTGCCAGATATTTGTTTACACCAGGATTGTCATCCAGTAAAATATAGAGGCGCCTGAGAAGTGGTAAGCAAACAGCCTCGAACCTAGGAAGTTGCAGCTGATACATCAAGGCAACCCCTCCCCATCATCAAGGGATACCCCCTTCCACACAAGCATCAAGGAACACCCCCTCCCAAACAAGCATCAAGGGCTACCCCCTCCCAAACAAGCATCAAGACACCCTCAAAGGGTATTATTCAAGACGTAAATTATTTTTATCTATGCATAATGAATCAGGTGTGTATTAAAATGTACTTACTGAACTGTAGGGAAATATGTGGGAACCGACACTACTGAATAGTGCAGTGTACCGTAAAATTGTATAAATACATAAACATTTAAAATAATTGTCTGCGTTATTATTCTGATAATCTTCATACTCTGATAACCTTTGCTTTAAAGTTGTCAAGACAACCCCAACGAGCAGCCAAAACTAAATTTCCTGGGGTCTCAATATTGGTCTGCCAGCAGTGCACAACTCCAGGCCTCACTACGTCACTGCACGAAGACATATTAGAACAAGTGTGGTACAAGTTAACATTGGGTTAAGTATTAGTGTTGAAGATATGAAGATCAGAATAGGTTATAACTGACAGCATTTCCTCTTCAAATATTTTTAGATTTCTTTTATAATTTGGTATCTCCGCAAGTGGACCTGTAACTGGCTGCTTGTAAATGGCTGCTTGTAACTGGCTACAGGGTGCGATGTGCGGAGATCAGAGACCAGTGTTGAGCAGTAGTTCAAGTAGTCGTGTTAGTGGGGGGGGGGGTAGTAGTGTGTAATGTTAGTATGGGTAGCAGTGTGCAAGATATAGTGTTAGTGAGGGTAGTAGTCTACAAAGATAAGATGGCCAGAAACAAACAGCTTGACAATACAAGTGGTAAAGATTAAGTGACCATGAAGCAATAATAGGTAATTGAAATCTCCCCACATGGAGGTAGGAAAGAGCGGACACCAATCTTCGGAGCTTCCATAGAGGGGAACAGAAAAGCAAAATATTGTTCGGACAGAAGGTAAATTAAGGGAAGCAAAGAGTGAACACAGAAAAGACACACATTAAAGAGAAACGACACTCAAACAGAAGTTCTACTAATGTGTTACTAGGATCTTGAAGGTCATGAGAGCGGATTAAGTATCTTAGACAATGGGCATCACGCCGATCGTGTAAAGATAAAACATTCGTCTCTGCATATTGGCTCTCGACCGGGAAGGAACGAAAAGCACCTAGACAAACGCAATCCTTGAACGAGAAGCTGCAGAATATAGTTGTTCTTCATAATTCAGTTTCGATAAGGTTAGGGCAGAGTGAAGACTAAGAGTTCGTCTATCAGTTCCCCTGAAAAAGATTTAAGAGGGGTTTAAAGAAAATGCACCAAGTTGTTTACGTTAAGGTTGTGAGGCGTGTCCAGGACATCCGTCGAACAAACAGGCTTTACCGTACGTCGTTCAGGGTTAAAGGAACCATTCAGTTTTAACGCATCATTAGAGACAACAGAACATCTTGTAAAAGTAATTTGACGCATCTCGGTAACATTGTCAATAACATTCTGGAGAGGTGACAGCCAGCTGATGCTATAGCAAAATCAAGAAAATGACGACACCACATATGGGAGAACAGAAATAAGGTCATTAATGCCAAGAAAATGAGTGGTGCTGGGAAGAACCCTGAGGGACACCTTCAGCATTTTTAGAGTCAAGGGGGAAAGTATTAATCACAACAAGGAATTAAGAAAAAGCTGCATCATAAACTCTGCTTTCTGCCAGTGATCTATATAATATTTGGCCGGTGTAGGGATTAATTCCCGTACTTTTAAACGTTGTCCTGTTGTATATACAGTTCAAGGTCAACTTTGCTATATTACAAGGATGAAGTCCTTACTGCCCTCGTTTGAAGAGATGTGTCTAGCTTAAGAACAGGTAGGTTCGGGAGCTCAAGTTACTCCATACGTCTGCATCACATTTCGTAGTCTTGTTGTATTATGGTACGAGGAATAACAGTTCTGCAGCATGAACTGTGGGAAGGATGCTTACGTATCGTGACAGGAGTGTCGAGATTCGAGCTAAGACGGGAGATACTACGAACTGTTTTATATAGTTTTGTCCAACATGTCGCAAGTGTTTTTTGCTAATACTATGGTCAGAAACAATCTATAGGTGGTGTTGTTTGGAGAAAAGAATTTTGTCCACGAGTTACCTTGACATTCAGATTAGAGAGAAAGATTTTTGTGTAGGTTATTTCTGAATATAAGAGTGGCAGCAGTTACTGGGTCTGCATCATAGGTCGAGATCGCTTGGACGAAGTCTCGAGCCCATCCGCCCTTTGTCGTGCGAACGCTCGGAAAATCGATGCAGTGTGAGAGGGGCAGAATCATTAAAAGTTCATCCACGTAACTTCGCAAATGAACCTATGCATACATATGCATTCAAATGCCTACGCTCTTGTGCATACGTGCATAAAATAAATGCGCGCTAACATGCTTATTTTCAAAGTGCTGCACTGGAATTTTATAACCACCCTCCACTATCGTTTACAAGGCTGCTCTTGTGGAAACCAGGATACATCTGATAGCGGGAGAGACCGAAGTGCATCTAATTTTTAAAAGAATTTACATGCTGCTGTCTCGGAACAGTTAATGTTCAGAAAAGTAACAAATTGAGCAGCCACTGAGTATGAATTTTATGCACACGTTGGTATTATTGACCAGCCTAGTCCATGTAATATTGACCAGCCTAGTCCATGTAATTCCAGGTATTGGGTGGAAGTGCCACAGTAATTCCAGCTATTGTGTGGAAGTACCAATCCGTGAGAGGTTTAATTGAAATCACAACAGTGCTAGCCTGGACAGAGTGCATCTTTAACAAAGCATTTGCCAGATCAGTTAGATACTAGTATCTCAGACCACCTCAGATGTAGTCTCGTGTAAAACATGATCAGGTGACCTGTAGCCAACCCACCATTACCTACATTTTATGCATGGATTTAAATACAACACTTACGTCAAATATTTCAGAACGTTGAAGCCAGTCTTTTTGAAATGTAATTACACATTCTGGAGTTACTTTTAATACTTCCAACTCTGGACATACCAAATTTTTCGGTATGAACTGTCCACTTCAATCTATATTAGGTAAATTTACTCATGAAATCTTAATAACACGATTGCAGACAAACCAGGGAACTGTTGGTTAACGCACTAACTAGCCTGCGATGTTTAGCACTCACTGGCTTTGGGTTCAAGCCCTACCCGTTCCCTGATTTACCAAATATAAATGCTATCTTGCACTATCCCAATACGCAAGTCTATTCGTTTTAATCTTCCTATTTACTCTTGGTCAAGAATTACGCTGCAGTGTGTCAACTCACCTTTCGTCGCCGGCAAGGAAGCACTTCTTCGAATCACTCCGACAGTTTTCGAAGTTGCTGGCATGTACCAGGGGCAGCAAGCCTCCTGGAGCGCTACCCTGCCGCAGTTCTATCAGCATCCCCGATGAGTACAGTCGCAGATCCCTCTCCCGGCATTCGTCGCTCCCGTACACCTGCCATCAAACCACAGGATTAAAACTGCTTTGAACACTTATTGTGTCACTATACTTTGGTAAGGCGACCTACTAATGAAACCATCTATGCAGTCACTATAGACAATTTAAAAATTATTACTGGGAAAAGATTTTAAAATCGATATTCCATTCTTCACGGGGAAATTGTTTACAAAGTTATTTACTGCTCTTGTTAGGAAAAATAACTTATCATACTCAGTCTAACATTGAAACCATAAAACTCATGACATAACTATTACAACCATTAAAATTTGGCAGCAAAAATGATTAAAAACAATGAAAACGTTCAGTTTCGGAGCTCCTTACAGTACTGTAGTAAATATGAAGGTACAACCATATAGAAACATTCCAGGCAAAACTCTGAATCTGTTCCGGCAAAAAAAAAAAAAAAAAAAAAAAAAAAAAAAGCAGCAGCAGCAGCAGCAGCAGCAGCAGCAACAGCAGCCCTAGCACCACCAGCCCTAGCACCACCAGCCCTAGCACCACCAGCCCTAGCACCACCAGCCCTAGCACAACCAGCCCTAGCACAACCAGCCCTAGCACAACCAGCCCTAGCACAACCAGCCCTAGCACAACCAGCCCTAGCACAACCAGCCCTAGCACAACCAGCCCTAGCACAACCAGCCCTAGCACCACCAGCCCTAGCACCACCATCCCTAGCACCACCAGCCCTAGCACCAAGCAGATAACCATGGGTAGTGTAATGTCCTGTCCTCAACAAAGCTCCTCAGTTGCCAATAATCTGGAAGAGGCAACAGGTCAAACACACTGCCTTACCATTCCCAGGAAAACATTACTTCCAGCAACACTCAAACACGTTACAAAAGTGTTATAAACGTGTCGACAAATCTTAGAAAAACTGAGAAACTTTCTGAAACATGAGCGGTTTTACCGAGTACATCTTTATATTACACAAGAAATCAATCATGAATAACAATATACATTAAACCAGTGCAATATAATCAGCACGATTCCAACGCTTAGTAAAGTTTTGACCACAAGAATCGTGAACCTTAAGATATATACTCATACCAGATTTAAAACTCATGAAGAATGAGCAGAAAGTCAGGGGCAAGACAGTGGCAAGTAGTTTATGTTCCTCAGTCAACTGAAGACTGAAAGCAAACACGGTGGCAGTGGTATAATAGTGGTAGTAGTGTAACAGTGGCAGTGGCATAAGTGGGGGTCTAATAGTGGCAGTGATATAAATGGTGGTATAATAGTGGTGGTATAATAATGGTGGTGGTGGTATAATAATGGTGGTATAATAGGTGGTGGTGGTATAATAGGTGGTGGTGGTATAATAATGGTGGTATAATAGGTGGTGGTGGTATAATAATGGTGGTATAATAGGTGGTGGTGGTATAATAATGGTGGTATAATAGGGTGGTGGTGGTATTATAATTGGTGTATAATAGGTGGTGGTGTTGTATATAATGGTGGTATAATAGGTGGTGGTGGTATATAATGGTGGTATAATGGTGGTGGTGGTATAATAAATGGTGGTATAATAGGTGGTGGTGGTATAATAATGGTGGTATAATAGGTGGTGGTGGTATAATAATTGGTATAATAGGTGGTGGTGGTATAATAATGGTGGTATAATAGGTGGTGGTGGTATAATAATGGTGGTATAATAGGTGGTGGTGGTATAATAATGGTGGTATAATAGGTGGTGGTGGTATAATATGGTGGTATAATGGTGGTGGTGGTATAATAATGGTGCGTATAATAGGTGGTGGTGGTATAATAATGGTGGTATATTAGGTGGTGGTGGTATAATAATGGTGGTATAATAGGTGGTGGTGGTGGTATAATAATGGTGGTATAATAGGTGGTGGTGGTGGTATAATAATGGTGGTATAATAGGTGGTGGTGGTATAATAATGGTGGTATAATAGGTGGTGGTGGTATAATAATGGTGGTATAATAGGTGGTGGTATAATGGTGGTATAATAGGTGGTGGTATAATAATGGTGGTATAATAGGTGGTGGTATAATAATGGTGGTATAATAGGTGGTGGTATAATAATGGTGGTATAATAGGTGGTGGTATAATAGGTGGTGGTATAATAATGGTGGTATAATAGGTGGTGGTATAATAATGGTGGTATAATAGGTGGTGGTATAATAATGGTGGTATAATGGATGGTGGTGGGTTTATAATAATGGTGGTATAATAGGTGGTGGTGGTATAATAATGGTGGTGGTGGTATAATAATGGTGGTATAATAGGTGGTGGTATAATAATGGTGGTATAATAGGCGTGTCAGCGTGCCTCGTTGTGCTCCGGGTTTTTCGTGTTTTCACGGTTCGCTCTTACGTGCTAGAACTTTAATTGGTGTCATCAATCCTATACGATACATCCTCTAGCGCCTGGAACCAAATCTTGGGCGGGAAAACATTATATACTGAGTCAAAAAAGGAGAATTAGTGTGCACTAGCAGAGTTTACTGCCAGAGGGGAATCATAGGCCTGTCCCGTGTGGAAAAAAAAAAATAATAATTGAACTTTTCATGTCAGAGGAAAGAAAGTCTCCCTGATAACATTGAGTATACATAGTGTATAGTGTTATACTACAGTGGCTCCTAGTATATTGATGATAAAGGCTAAAGTGTCATTTGAAAACAGGTGAATTTGTAAATGAAGTGATAAGCCTATAGAGGCAGGTGCCAGAAGTCGCCAGAACTTACCACAGGTCAGCTGTTTTTTAATAATCTTCCTGGCTTGCCAGTGTACTCGCATATAATCTAGTGATACCAGTGATTAGCAGAATACAGTGTTGTAGTAGCAACTAACCAGTATTATAATGGTACTTAGTGGAGTGGAGTGACTTTCATTAGTTTCTTTTTCTTGAAATACGGAGACGTTACTGTGAATTTCATATAACTGTAGTTACCAGCAGTCGAAATATACACAACGAGAAGCAATTATTACTACAGAAAAAAAGCGTCCTTCCTCCAAAATTTGCACCAGTCAACTTATAGTGTATAATATAGCATTTATTGTGGTGGAGACGGAAAAAAAGAAAAAAAAAAAAAAAAAAAAAAAAAAGAGAAAAAGCCAGATACAGCGATTGATAAACAAGGAGGTGACGTTCGTCATTGTAGGAGCTGCCAGATATCACCGGCTCTTCAACACGCAAGTTATACTTTTGTATCAGTCCAAATCACATATTACTCGGGTAGATAATTTCCAGTAGACCCTTCATGTGTTAGCTCAAATCACCGACCAGTTTGTTTTAAAATAAGTGACCCACTGATCAGAGCAGATCATTGGCCCGAACCCTTGCCTGGCCCGAACCCTTGATGGTCCGAACCGGGACTGGTTTCAAACAGTTTCGTTGGACAATTTAAAGCAGACTGTAAACGGATGGGGTTGTAGGCGCCCTATAAACACAAACATTAAAATCGGGAAAACGTGACGGTAAGCTGTCCAATATACAAAAGAGTTTAGAAACAGAATACAAATAGCTAGAGCTTCATTTAAGGTTTTAATAGAATTTTCAAGAGGTTGTTTAGTAGAATTGCAGTAAATAAACCATTCAAAATCATTATGAACCCCTGTGTAGTCTGTGGTCAGTCAAAACAAAACGGGCTTCCACATGGATAAATTGTCATTTTTTGGGGGAAAAAATTGGGTTTTGTCACGCCCCTTGTGCAGATATCCCAGAAACTAGCTACAAGCAGTATTAAAACAGAGAAGTGTTTTTGGGTATGCTCAATGAGGAAAAAACTGTGGACTAAAATCACAAGGGTATTAAAAGAGGACAACCATCAAAGCTGCTTTCATAGAAAACTGGAAGCTTTCTACAACAGATGGGAACATAAAATGTCTGGGCTGAATGGTAACTGCCCTTGATACTGGCCATGTAGTCATAAACTGTAAGGCTGGAGGTGATGTCCTGGTAGTCAGTAAATGTGGGGCTGATAGTGCTGTCCTGGGAGACAGTAATGGTGAAGCTGGAGGTGCTGTCCTGGGAGACAGTAATGGTGAAGCTGGAGGTGCTGTCCTGGGAGACAGTAATGGTGAAGCTGGAGGTGCTGTCCTGGGAGACAGTAATGGTGAAGCTGGAGGTGCTGTCCTGGGAGACAGAAATGGTGAAGTGGAGATACTGTCCTGGGAGACAGAAATGGTGAAGCTGGAGGTGCTGTCTGGGAGACAGAAATGGTGAAGCTGGAGATACTGTCCTGGGAGACAGTAATGGTTGAAGCTGGAGGTGCTGTCCTGGGAGACAGAAATGGTGAAGCTGGAGATACTGTCCTGGGAGACAGAAATGGTGAAGCTGGAGATATTGTCCAGGGAGTCGGGACTTATTACGCAGGAGGAATACATATAAATGACCTCATAGGGGACAGGAGCCATAGTAGGGAAACAAGTGTAGTCAAAGATAAGATAAAACCAATATTGCAAACTAGAAATACCGCAGGAAATAGCAAACAAGAGGGACTCCAATAGCAATAGTGAGGATAAATTACCAAAAACAAACTGGTGGGAGCTCCATTGTTGGTTGCAAGGGAGGATAGAAGTAAGGACAGGGAAACATGCACCAACAGGGAATACAGTCACAGAAACCCAAGGCAAGCGGAAACCAAGACTGTGCACATACTATGCACTTGGTATCTGCTGGCATGGGAAATCTGGAAAAACAGATGGGACATGCAACTATGACCACCCTAGAAAATGCCATGCCCATATGAAAAACAGGAAAATGCAAACTCCTTCCTGTAAGTTTTTTTCACCCTGAAATGTGTACCTCTTCAGTACAGGAAAGACTGTGCTATAACTTAAATTGCCAGGCATACCATCTAAAGGGGACAAAAAGATACAAAACATCCGGGCCAGGGGAAAACCTGGGTAGCCACAGCCACTCAGAGGGAGAGGTTTTTAGTGCCAGGAAGGAAAAAAAAAATGGCAGGAAATGGCAGAAATCGTACACCAAATCCAGTCATTCCTGGAGTGGAACCACAGTCGATGGC